AGTGCCAAACAAGCGAAAGTGCCAAAATCATGCGGTGACCAACCCCCCCAACTAAATGTTAAATTCCTCCACAACAAAACATGCGCCATAAAAATGATGAAAGCAAATTAGTGCTAGATATCCAAGCTATGCAAAGCGACCCAAATTTGCGCCTTCGAGTTGCAGCTAGGATCTATTCCGTAGACCACCGCAAGCTACGTCACCATTTACAAGGCATACCTTCACGACGCAATATCCAAGCCAACTTACAGAAATTAAGTAACCTAGAGGAATCAGTTCTTGTTCAGTATATACTTGACTTAGCTGCTAAAGGGTTCCCTCCTCAGTTGTCTATTGTTGAAGATATGGCAAATCGACTACTTGCAACACGCGACGCGCCACGCGTCGGGTCACGTTGGGCTTCAAACTTTGTTAAGCGCCATGTATAGCTCCGGACACGCTTCCAGCGAAAATACGACTACCAGAGGGCTAAGTGCGAAGATCCAGAAGTCATTCGTGGCTGGTTTGAGCTTGTATGGAACACAATTCTAAAGTATGGCATCAACAATGCAGATATCTACAACTTTGATGAGACTGGGTTTATGATGGGCATCATCTCAAGCGCAACGGTAGTAACGAGCTCAGATGGGCGGGCAAAGGCAAAAAAGGTGCAGCCTGGCAATCGGGAATGGGTTACAGTAATCCAAGGCGTTAGTTCTCAAGGTTGGGCAGTGCCGCCATTTGTCATTGTGGCAGGTAAAAACCACCTTGCATCTTGGTATGAGAATAGCGGATTTCCAGCAGATTGGGTAATCGCTGTTACTGCAAATGGCTGGACTACAAACGAGAGAGGTATGGATTGGATTCAGCATTTTGAGAAGCACACAAAGCCCCGGAGTGTTGGTGGTTATCGCTTGTTAGTCCTTGATGGTCATGAGAGCCACCACTCAGACAAGTTTGAGGAGTACTGCAAAGAACACAACATTATTACGCTTTGTATGCCTGCTCACTCTTCCCATATACTCCAACCACTTGATGTTGGCTGTTTTGGCCCATTAAAGAGAGCTTATGGTCGGCAAATTGAAGATATGATGCGGGCTCATATTATTCACATTACTAAGGATGACTTCTTTCCTGCCTTCCACGCTGCATTTAACATTGCAATGACAGAAAGCAATATTCAGGGAGGGTTCCGAGGTGCTGGGCTTCTTCCATTTAGCCCTGAGAGTGTAATATCTACACTTGACCTTAGGTTTAAGACGCCAACACCTCCAACCTCTCACCCAAACACCGCTCAACCATGGGTTTCTCAGACACCAAATAACCCAACTGAAGCTGTATCACAGTCTACTTTCATTAAAAACTGAATTGCGCATCATCAAAATAGCTCTCCAACCTCAATCTATGCAGCTGTTGACCAGTTTACAAAGGGTGCATCGCAAATAATGCATCAATTAGCATTGTTAAAAGCAGAGAACCAAAACCTGCGACAGGCAAATGAAGTGCTAAGCAAGCGCCGGAGAGCTAATAAAACACGACTACAGCAAGGAGGATCACTTAGTCAACAGGTAGCACAGGAGCTACAGGACGAGAGGGACGTTGTGCAGCAAGTAGAGCAAGAAATAAGGGCAACTAGTGGTCGGAAGCCAAGGGAAGAAACCCATGCACGTCGCTGTGGCAAGTGTGGTGAGACTGGACACAATGCGCGCACTTGTCAGATTGTAATAGACAGGTCTGAGGAAGAGGACTCCGAGTAGTTTTAATTAATTTATATTGTTGTGGTGGATTTATCGCAATTCTTATGGGGTAGTCGCGATATTTTGGCACTTTCGCTTGTTTGGCACTTTCGTTATACATGCACGTTAACCATATAATATTTATCAAACTATAGTAATAATTAATAGTAACATTAGTAGCTGCTATTAATGCTTAATTAAACTCATATCAAATATAAGTCATAACTAATTGACTAACGTACATGTATAGCGAAAGCGCCAAACAAGCGAAAGCGCCAAAATGATGCGGTGACCAAACCCCCCAACTAAATGTTAAATTCCTCAACAACAAAACATGCCCCATAAAAACGATGAAAGCCAATTAGTGCTAGCTATCCAGGCTATGCAAAGCGACCCAAAGTTACGCCTTCGAGTTGCTGCTAGGATCTATTCTGTGGACCACCGCAAGCTAGGTCGTCGTCTAGAAGGTGTACCTTCACGACGCGATATCCAAGCCAACTTACGGAAATTAACTAACCTAGAGGAGTCCGTCCTTGTTCAGTATATACTCGACCTAGCTGCCAAAGGGTTTCCTCCTCGGCTGTCTGTTGTTGAAGATATGGCAAGTCGACTACTTGCAACACGCGACGCGTCACGCGTTGGGTCGCGTTGGGCTTCAAACTTTGTTAAGCGGCGTGTAGAGCTCCAGACACGCTTTCAGCGCAAATACGACTACCAGAGGGCTAAGTGCGAAGATCCAGAAGTTATTAATGGCTGGTTTGAGCTTGTGCGTAACACAATTGCGAAATATGGTATCGATGAAGCAGATATCTACAACTTTGATGAGACTGGGTTTATGATGGGCGTTATCTCAACTGCTATGGTTGTAACAAGCTCAGACGGGCGGGCAAAAGCAAAGAAGGTACAGCCTGGTAATTGGGAATGGGTTACAGTAATCCAAGGCGTTAGTTCTCAAGGTTGGGCAGTACCACCATTTATCATTGTTGCAGGCAAAAACCACCTTACATCTTGGTATGAGAATAGTGGATTTTCAAGTGATTGGGTGATTTCTGTTACTGAAAATGGCTGGACTACAAACGAGAGAGGCATGGATTGGATTCAGCACTTTGAGAAGCATACAAAGGCCCGGAGTGTTGGTGGTTATCGCTTGTTAGTCCTTGATGGTCATGAGAGCCACCACTCAGATGAGTTTGAGGAGTACTGCAAGGAACACAACATTATTACGCTTTGTATGCCTGCTCACTCTTCTCATCTACTCCAGCCACTTGATGTTGGCTGTTTCGGCCCGTTAAAGCAGGCCTATGGTCGGCAAATTGAAGATATGATGCAGGCTCATATTTCTCATATTACAAAGGATGACTTCTTTCCTGCCTTCCACGCTGCATTTAACACTACAATGACGGAAAGTAACATTTGAGGCGGGTTCCGAGGGGCAGGGCTTCTTCCATTTGACCCTGAGAGAGTGATATCTACACTTGATCTTAAGTTAAGGACACCAACGCCTCCAAGCTCCCGCCCAGGTACTGCTCAACCTTGGGTTTCTCAGACACCAAACAACCCAATTGAAGCTATGTCACAGTCTACATTTATTAAAACTCCTCTCCAACCTCAATCTATGCAGCTGTTGACCAGTTTACAAAGGGTGCATCGCAAATAATGCATCAATTAGCACTGCTAAAGGGAGAGAACCAAAACCTACGACAGGCAAATGAAGTACTAAGCAAGCGCCGGAGAGCTAGGAAAACACGACTACAGCAAGGAGGATCACTTAGTCAACAAGGGGCGCAAGAGCTACAGGATGAGAGGGATGTTGTGCAGCAGGTAGAGCAGGAAATAAGGGCAAGCCGTGGTCGGAAGCCAAGGGAAGAAACCCGTGCCCGTCGCTGTGGCAAGTGTGGTGAGACTGGGCACAATGCGCGCACGTGTCAGATTGTAATAGACACCTCTGAGGAAGAGGACTCCGAGTAGTTTCAATTGATTTCTAATGTTGTGGTAGATTTATCGCAATGTTTGTCGTGAGGGTAGATAATTTTGGCGCTTTCGCTTGTTTGGCGCTTTCGCTATACATGTACGTTACTCTATGATCGATTTTAATTGAATAATATGATATCACTTGTAAATATAATATCACGTGTAAATATAATCACACGTGATTATTTAACAGTGTGTAAATGGAACTATTATAGTTATACTACTTTCAACTTATACCTCAAAATGCATGTACAGTAACGCTTAATAGTAACGTTATTAATATTCGATTGCACTTAAAGCTATTCCTAATAACATATCATGTGATGACATGTGGTGGCCCCCACTTATAATGTAAAAGACTGGACTGGACCAGACTGTTCTTAGGAAAGACCGAACGGTCTAGTCTTTTAAACAGTCCTCAATTTTCGCAAACAGTCCACACTCTAAAAAAAGACTGGACTATTATCAGTCCGGTCTTTTAAAGGGACCTCAACTTTTAGCAAACAGTCTACACTCTAAAAAAAAGACCGGAATGTTATCAGTCCGGTCTTTTTGTCTCAAGGTCCAGTCCTAAAAAAAAAGACTGGACCGTAAAACAGTCCTCACTCAACATTAAAAGACCGGACCGGACCGGACCGTGGCCAGTCTAATGGGAAGCTGTCTATAAGAACCAGCCATTTTTTGCTCGAGAGAGAATCTGGGGTAGTCTGTAAGGATGCCGCCTTACCTAGATACTCGAAGAACCTGCCTCAGAGCTATTACGGTCACTACAAGCATGAAACCAGTAGAGGAGCACATAGCGAGTTACACTATAGTGGGGGACGGTAAGGGTGTAGGGTTCAGGGTCAATGCCGACCTATTGCGATGGAAGGTTCAGGGCTAGGGTTGGGATAACCGAGTCGTGCCCGTTTCGGGTACTTAAGGAAACAGACTCAACGGGGTTCCCCCTTCATCTTTTTGGTATCCTTCGTAGTAGACCTATAGGATAGCATCCGTTTAGCCTCTGACTCGCACTCTCATATGCTATTACTGTGAGCTGGGTGCCCTGTGTCCTTACATAGTCAGACATATGTATCCTATCCTCCTGAGAGATGACAGGGTCAACCAAAGCTACACATTCCGCGAGGATGGCTGGGATATTTCATAGGATGTGAGAGTGAATCCATCTACAAAATATTCTCACCAGACAAGAATCAGGTCTTCCGAGTTGGTGTGGCTCGTATTGATGATGGCGAAGGGCTTACTGATCCCCACGCCCAACTGTCATTTCAGGATCGACTGCCTCTTCCCACTAATTCTTACAATAGTACAGAAATGGAATCTCAATCTAAAGGCACAGAGTCAGCTGATGACGCCTCTCAACACTCTCCTACAGAAGATTTAGAGTTTCATAATGATGCCTCTCAATACTTACAATACTCTCAAGCTGAAGACACAGAGTCTGAGTCTGAAAATGACACCTCTCAACACTCTCAAATGGAAGACGATCAAGACACAGCATCTGAAAACGAAGTCTCAAAATATTTTGCCTCTGCTGCAATCGCTGAAGACACCTCACACACAGAACCTCTGTTAGAACGGAAAAACGAGACAACTGATGAGGACCCATCTCTTCTCCCAAAATCCAAATGGTGATGACCAGATAACTCACAGTGTGATTGCTGCTTTCAGTATGGCAAACGATGTGATAGGGACGAAGTTGGCATACCATGTTCACCATGCAAAAAGGCTTCTGTGCGATTCTCTAATCAGACTCCCGAGACGCAAGCAAAACACATCCCAAAGCACTATTGAAACGACGTTAAGAAAATTGCACCACCAGAGGAAAATCTGTGTCGATTCTGCTATCAGCAAAATCAACCCTGTTGTAAACCTCAAGGACCAGATAGTCGCTGCAATGCCTGTGTTAAACGATCAGGAAAATGCAATGCAGACCTTACTGGTGCAAAGGCAAGAACTAGCGGTAAGGTCAAATGCCCACTAGATGCCCTTCCCTACCGAAAAGGTGTCCAAGACGATCAAAAATGCATGTTCTGCAAGAGGATGCAGCGCGCCTGTAACGGCAAATCACCATGCAACACATGCATTAGAAATCGCAAATGCATCCCTCAATATGACACTGCTGCAGTTAAGGCTAAGCCAAAATGTTGAGGATGCACAAAACGAAGCTTCTGTGACACAAATCGTCCATGCCAAGCATGCGTACGAAAAGGCAAAGATTGTATCTATGTTGACCAAGAGGGACTTGTAAAACGCCTCAACCATGTCACACACTCTACAACAAGCCGCTATAAAGACAAACCAGAGGTATTTAACATCTCTGAGAGCAATTCAGAATGTCGAACATGCATTACACAAAAACGAATCTGCAATGGAGACAAGCAATGTTTCACCTGCGTGAAAAGCAATGCACTACACCCAAAAGATTTAACAACTACCTTCTGCACCTACATTCGTACAGGAGGTATTGCTGAGACCTACACAACTCGGACCCATCAAATAAAGGACACAGCCGATGGAGGAGTACAGGCTGTCCTCTGACCGGATTATAACAAATACTCCTATCTTCCAACAGTTGCACGACCAGGCTCAACGCAAGCCTTTGCACGATGGGGCCTAGTTCCAGGAAAGACGTTTACAGGACCTAGCCACAATCTGCCAACCCAGGTAACGAATGACTCAACCTCTCCATTTCAAATAGCCTTCCCAAACGGCTATACTATGATCTCCACCCCTGGTACTGGACTTGAATGTGGACTCTATGCTATGCAGCGAAGCATCGCCGCCCAGTACCCAGGATTACCTCAACAAAATCTACAAGACCTTCGCTCTACACTTCAACATCCCGATCTCCTTGCAGCTAGTACTAGTGCAGGAGTAACAAACACCTCAAACTTTTCTGCCGACCAGTTAGGTGCCATTCTTTATCACTGGGCAAACACACACGCTCTCAATCTTCGTCTTGGATACATTACTGCTCAGGGGGAGACTCTTCAAATCAACACGCCTAGCAGTGATCTTTATCACTCAGTTACTATCTGGATCTATAATGACTATGAGGGCGACAGCCTACTAAGTGGATGCTACAATCATTGGTCGGGACTCCAAGCAGCATACCAAAATTCAGGAGCATCTATCACTCGATTGCAGCCAGATGATGACAACAGTCAAACTAGAGCCCTTACTCAGGAACATAAACGGACTATTACTGAGCTATCAGACTCTGAACCATTCTCGTCCCAAGATAACATCATTCTCATTCGTCGCTCGAAAATGAATGACAATCTCCATAGTTCATCACCACCAACTAAGAAAAGCAGACATGCTATGCTTGATACTATACAGTTGGTGCAATCCATTGAACTGAAGTCATATGCTGAAGCTATGCGATCACTGCAAGCAGTCTTATGGACTCAAGCTATCCAAGCTGAGATCCAAAGCCTCAAAGATAACAAAACCTGGGAAATTATCGACCTCCCAGCAGGAAGGAAACCACTCACTTCTCGATGGGTTTTCAAACAAAAACTTGGTGCAGATGGGGAAGTCTACAAACATAAAGCATGACTTGTAGCTCGACGCTTCCAGCAAATCGAAGGCCTTGACTATGAAGAAACCTTTGCAGCAGTTGTTAAGGCAGATGTAATGGTGGGTGCACCAGATGTGAGAATCTAGCCACCCAAGGAAGGGATGATTTTACTAAGACAACACACTCTCTTAGAAAACAGAGCCAAAGGGTTGTAGCTTAGACTATTCCACAACGCAGCAATCAAGTAGAGTTTGCGGCCCTCCTGGCCGCCAAAGAGGCCACCCCCCTCATCCCCGCTGACGTTGTCGCCGCTGCCACCGAGGCCAATTGGGTGGCCCTCCTGGCCATCCAGAGCATGCCCAAGTTCCGCTCTGAGGCGGAGGGTGACCTCTACAAGGAGGCACGCGCCACTCGGACTGCCCTCGACTTGGGGCTGGCTGTGAGTAGACCCCCTTCCCCTTGTGACTTGGTGTGGTTTCAATGCTGACTCTGGGCAGCAAATTCGGTCATCGCTGCACCGTCTCCGGACGGAACAGGAGAGCGTCCCTGCTCTCTTGGGGGAGTTGGTGGCTGCTGTGGGCAAACTGCCCACTGCTGCCGCTCCCGCGGTCGCTCCGACTCGGGGTGATGGAAGGAGAGAGGGGGAGGATGGGGAAGTTAGGGCGGCCTACGGGGCCTAGGTGGGGAAAGACCCTGTGTCGGAGGGGACTCGGGCCTGGCCCTTCGCGTGGGGTCACTTCGACCCTTCATCTCTCATGGTGGTAGCCGCTTGTTGCGATGCCGGTGAGATGTTTGGGATGGGTGGCTCCCGCAAGAGTTATGGTGGTGAGTGCACCCTGGCTCGGAGGGTATTTTAGCTTAGAGTCGCAGACAGTAACGACTCTGTTTCTTCCGCTTTGTCTTTCCCTCCGTGATTGTAGTTTTGTTCGTTCCCCTTCACCCCTGCCATAACCCCTCCGAGTAGTTCTTGAGGTGGACCTGGTAAATTTGGGTATTCCGTATGAAACTCTCTGAGTTTATGGGGAGAGTTCATGAAGTTTGAGGCTGGGTACCACTCCGGGTCCGGATCGTATCCGACCCAACTAACCCAGTATTGTAGTTGCTTCCGGCACAGCCTTACGGCGAGGATCTTTTTCACTTCCCATTCCTCTACGCCGTCTATCACTTCGCTGCTAGGCTCACGCAGATCCTGACCCGGTAGGGGGTTGTTCGGATCCTTCATGAGGACGTCTGGTGAGAACACATCGTGTATTGGAGAACCGGTAGGTAGTTCCAATCGAAACGCATGCCCAATCCGTTCCAACACCGTATAAGGTCCGACCCATTGTTGGCCCAACTTGCGGCTAGGGCGGGAGTTCTTCAAATTTTTTGTCGATAGGTACACTCTATCTCCTATGTCCCAGTCGATGGCCCTTCAGCATCGATTCACGTGCTTAGACATTTCCTCTTGTGCCTTTGCCATGTTTTCCTTTGCATGGACCCATGCAGTATGCATTTGGTCTGCAACCGCCTTGGCTTCCTCTCGGTTTAGGGTCTCCCGGGGGTTCGTGCTTTTCGGGGTGTTCCAATCCCAACTCGTACGTGGATCGGTTCCGTACTTGAGTCGGTAGGGGGTCATGCCAATGGATGCGTGGGGGAGTGTCATTTGCATGCGGTCCATTATGGGGATGAGTTCGCTCCAGTTATCCTGATAATGGGATACGAAAGGCCTCAGTCTCTGATCGATGTATCGGTTCATGATTTCCGTCTGCCCATCGGTCTGCTTATGATAGGCAGTCGACAGCTTAACCTTAACGCCGATAATTCGACAGAAGTCCTGCCAAAAGTTGCCATGTGCCGGGCAGTTGTGGTTTTGTAGCAAGGTATGGTCACCAAACTCTTTCCGAGTCTGTCCATAAACACTAAGATGCTATCGTATCTGTGCTTGTCCCTTGGGAACTCCTTGAAGTCCATGGTGAGGTGTTGCATAGGATATTCAGGTACGGGTAGTGGGTGTAGGAATCCTTGTTGCTTAGTGACATTGGTGTGAGAAAGCTGGCATGTCACGCAGTTTCGTACATACCACAAACAGTCCGCTTCCATCCTGACCCAATGATACTTTGGAGCGAGCAATTGGTAGGTTTTCCTGCCACTTGGATGTGCTGACGACACTTGATTGTGCGCTTCCCAGATCAGTTTGTACATAGGTCGGTGTGGCGATTCACACATAGGTAGCCTTTGTACAGGAGGAGCAGGTCGTTCATCGTGAATCCGTCTGGTAGGGGTTGTTTCGTGCGAGTCTCAGTGAATGACTTCGGATTGTCCGCACATAGCGCCTCTATTAAATTGAAGGGCACCTGGGGCTTGGGGGTGTCCATCGAATTAATGGATGCTATGTAGCTCTCGGCGAGTTCGGTGCTGATTCGGGGGTGCAGGCTGCTTGGACCTAACAATACCCTCGCCCTACTATCAAGCTTGACTTTCTGCTGCGTTACCAAGTCCTGGTCTCTTCAGCTCAGAATATCTGCCTTCTGGTTATTCTTGCCCGCGGTGTACGTAATGCAGAAGTTGAAGTCGGAGAGTAGCTCCATCCATCGAACCTGCTTCGCGGTGAGAACCTTGGTACACATGAAATATTCCAGCGAATGGTGGTCAGTGTACACGTCAACTCGGTGGCGCACCGAAGCCAACTCGGGCCTCCATTTTCCAAAGGCCTTTACTATTGCGAATAGTTCCTTGTCGTGGATCTCCTAGTTGATCTCATGTCCAGATAGGACATGACTGTAAAAGCTTACAGGGTACCATCACTTGTCAGGGTGTTCTTGAGACAGCACACCAGCTACCACTCTGTCAGAGGAGTCGGTCTACAGCTTCGTAGGCAATTCGGGGTTGAAGTGGTGAAGTGCCTGTACCGCTAAAAATTGTCATCACAATTCCTCAAACGCATCCTCACATTCGTCTGTCCACCGGAACGGCTCCGATGGACTAGTGATGGTGGTGAGGGGCTTTGCTATTTTGCCAAAATTACGAATGAATTGTCTATAGAAGCCACAGAATCCCAGGTAGGACTTCACACCCGTAACAGTGGTCGGTCGGATCCAGTTACGAAGGGGTTCGATTTTATCAGGGT